TTTTTAAATACCAAAGAGAAAAATAGACGCAATAAAAATATAGACTTAAGTGTTTTTATCATTATTTTCAAGTGACAGTTTTATTCTTTTACAACTGTAGAATATTTAAATTGTTTATATAGTGTGAATACCAAAATACCGCTTCATTTCTATTTGAACAAGTGAATAAAAAAAAAACCTTTCAAAAAAGGAAATAAATGTAGGGATGGCTAATATCATTTCTTCAAAAACAATGTAAACAAGATAATAGGTATGCAAATGACATTGTTTTTGAAGGATTGATATTAGCCATCCCTACATTTATTTCCTTTTTTGAAAGGTTTTTTTAGTTGTTTTATTTAATGCAGTGTTTCAATAGATATAGGAAGGTTGTATTTATAACGAAGTTCTAAGTACAATGACATTCCAACTGTAATATTTATTTTTTATCCATGATTGGCTGGTAATTTCTGTTTCACCCTGTCTTTAAACTCTTTATAGGGGCTCGGCATGACCAGGTGGTTAAGGCACTCGACTCGCAATCTGAGGGTCGCGGGTTCGAATCCCCGTCACACCAAACATACTCGCCCTTTCAGCCGTGGGGGCGTTATAATGTGACGGTGAATCCCACTATTCGTTGGTAAAAGAGTAGCCCAAGAGTTGGCGATGGGTGGTGATGACTAGCTGCCTTCCCTCTAGTCTTACACTGCTAACTTAGGGACAGATAGCCCTCGTGTAGTTTTGCGCGAAATTCAAAACAGACAGCTCTTAATAGGAATACCAATTTTTTGTACGAAAGCTAACTTCAAGAGGTAACGATAAAACCGTTTACTCTATAATTAAGCTTTTTTCAAATATAAAAGTCACTACTAGTTATTAATAATACTTATAAAAGCGGATACTCCGTTTGAAACTACGTCACCTCAGTAAAATTGGTTGACACCATTGTTTTGGATTATGAGTTATCATGTAATAAAAAGAAGCAGAAGGAATAAGAACAAGAAATTAAAATTTTTTACTATGATATTTACAGACATTCCCAGAACTTGTGACTCAGTCATTACAAAGATATTGTTACAAAAGGAAACACTGGATATCTTGTAAAGTTGTGATGACATATTGAAGAGATATTTAAAATATAATTTCGACAAACAATCCGAGCCATCCATACATAGGTGGTGCTGCCACCTGCCCGATGATTAGCTACCTAGTATTATATTATTGCATGTGCTTTCACAAAGTGTTAAATATTTAATGTTTTTATTGTTTTTAACTAAAACTTACACCATGGTATATATGATATTTTCCATCAAAGGGATCAGACCTCAATTTTACTGTGCCACCTGGAGCACACATATCAAGAAAACCTTTGACATCTAGTTTGCATATTTACCACCTTTCATTTTAACTAAAAACTAACTACAAATGTTGAGTATACTTTGTTTTAAACAAGGGTTCTGTCTGGTGTAACAAAGTAAAACCGTATAATTGTACGGAACAAAGTCGTTTTCTTTGTTTCCAAGCATTAAGCAAAACTGAAACCAAACAAAAGTTATTCAAGGTAAGAAGAAAAGTTTTCTATTACTATTTAATTTTTACTGATAAAAGTATATTTTTCTTTTAGTTGTGAATGTTATAGAAGTTTTTCATATTTATTCAACAAGCCAGTTTGAAAACAATAAATTTCTTAAGAAGGATATACGAATTCTGTGCCGCTATCTATGGGAAGTTAGCATAAACAATGCGAAGGAAATCAGATAAGTATGCGTGGGTATGTGTGATTACAGATGGCACTACGTGCGTAGAGAAAGAAGGTCACTGTTTTCTATGTGTGATTACAGATGGCACTACGTGCGTAGAGGAAGAAGGTCAGTGTTTTCTATGTGTGATTATAGATGGCACTACGTGCGTAGAGGAAGAAGGTAGGTGTTTTCTATGTGTGATTGCAGATGGCACTACGTGCGTATGGCACTACGTGCGTAGAGAAAGAAGGTCAGTGTTTTCTATGTGTGATTACAGATGGCACTACGTGCGTAGAGGAAGAAGGTCAGTGTTTTCTATGTGTGATTACAGATGGCACTACGTGCATAGAGGAAGAAGGTCAGTGTTTTCTTTGTGTGATTGCAGATGGCACTACGTGCATAGAGGAAGAAGGTAGGTGTTTTCTATGTGTGATTGCAGAGAAATGATGATGGATACACACTTAAACAGTATGGAGAGAAATGATGATGGATACACACTTAAACAATATGGAGAGAAATGATGATGGATACACACTTAAACAGTATGAAGAGAAATGATGATGGAAATGGAGACTATGATTGACTACGTTAAATCATTCGTAGTGTACATGAAATCAAATTATAACCAAACACATCTGTTTCTAACTAAATGTTATAACAGTTCCCTAAAAATCACTAAAAGCTGTTCAAAATTAGCAAGAAAACAATCATTTTGTTAGTTAAAGCTCTGTACTTTACGAACCTTCAATTCTGTATCACCAAGTAGAAATTTTCTTGAATCAATCCTCATGTTAATATCAAAGTTTCATATAACGTATATAACTGAAATACTGAAGGTTACATAAAACTCCACTTTAACGTGTATAACACTCAGTTACTCTTATTCATGGTTTGAATACATAACTATTGTACAATAGAAGGAAAAACAACAATGCTACAGACTTCAATATTAATATCGATATGTAAAGTGGTAAGACAAACAACAATGCTACAGACTTCAATATTAATATCGATATGTAAAGTGGTAAGACAAACGACAATGCTACAGACTTCAATATTAATATCGATATGTAAAGTGGTAAGACAAACAACAATGCCACAGACTTCAATATTGATATCGATATGTAAAGTGGTAAGACAAACAACAATGCTACAGACTTCAATATTAATATCGATATGTAAGGTGGTAAGACAAACAACAATGGTACAGATTCCAATATTGATAGCGATATGTAAAGTGGTAAGACAAACAACAATGCTACAGACTTCAATATTAATATCGATATGTAAAGTGGTAAGACAAACAACAATGCTACAGATTCCAATATTAGGGTAAATATATGTATATATCTAGTTGTTGTGATCAGGATACCAAACGATATAGTCAGCTTTACATGCATATTTCTTTACAGCATACCTCTGGTTACCTACCTATTATGGACCTCCAAACAATAGTCACTTTTGTAAATTGAACTAGAATCCAAAGTATAAACACCCCTTTGTCGAGTGTAACAAAATCCAATAAAAGTCTAAGACTTAGAAAAATGAAACTAGACGAGAAAAAGAAATCATAAAAACATTTCAGTTACCGTATAGTCTTAAAACAAGACGATAAAAATAATTTTTATTGTGTTGTGTGTGTGTCTTGCTATTTTTATCAATTAAGAACGTTTCTAACCCACATAAAAACTATTCTACACACATATATATGTAGTTGTTTAGATGAACGGTCCTTTCTATCGTTCTTTCAATATTAATATTGAAGTCTGTAGCATTGTTGTTTGTCTTACCACTTTACATATCGATATTGATCACAACAACTAGATATATACATACATTTATTCTGATCACAACAACTAGATATATACATACATTTATCCTGATCACAACAACTAGATATATACATACATTTATACCGATCACAACAACTAGATATATACATACATTTATACCAATCACAACAACTAGATATATACATACATTTATACTGATCTTGATCATATATATTCAAATGTCACCATAAATACGTTTATTGACATTTTATCTTCAAACGTCTGTATGGACATGTTTCTTGATCTTATAGCTTCATATGTCTGCTACATTACTATGAGCAAGATATAATTGTTGTTACCTTATTAGCTGTCTGTTCATATAAGAACGTGTTAGTAAGACATAATTACTTCAACATTATTAGCTGTCTGTTCGTATAAGAACGGATTTGTAGGACATAATTACTTCAACATTATTAGCTGTCTGTACATATAAGAACGTGTTAGTAGGACATAATTACTTCAACATTATTAGCTGTCTGTTCGTATAAGAACGTGTTAGTAGGACATAATTACTTCAACATTATTAGCTGTATTTTTTCCCTAAAGAACGTGTGAGAAGGACATACTTCAACATTATTAGCTGTATTTTTCCCTAAAGAACGTGTGAGAAGGACCTACTTTAACATTATTAGCTGTATTTTTTTTCATAAAGAACGTGTTAGAAGGACCTACTTTAACATTATTAGCTGTATTTTTTTTCATAAAGAACGTGTGAGAAGGACCTACTTTAACATTATTAGCTGTATTTTTTTCCCTAAAGAACGTGTGAGAAGGACCTACTTTAACATTATTAGCTGTATTTTTTTCATAAAGAACGTGTTAGAAGGACATTCATGTCGATCTGAACAAAACCAATTTGTTTAGTTTGTCAGTAATGATAGAGTTCGTTGTTACTGGAATGACGAATGTGACTCTTAGAAGAAACGTTAGGATATTTTTATTCTATAAACAAACGTCCAGTAATTAAAGAATAATTAACAATGTTTTGGGGATTTTCTTTCTTTGTTCAGAGATCTACTTACTGGCTATAAATTGCTTATTCTAAGAAATGACGAGATCTAATTTATGTTTGTAAATATTCAATAAAACATGAGTGAAACAACAAAGGAAGTTAGTTACTTTAGGCGTTTCTTTTAGATTTTAGTACTAACTTGTAGTAATAAATCCACATAACATTTTTTCTACGACATTTATCAAGAAATTAGACTTGTTGCACGGTTAATTTAGAAGCTGGAAGTATATATATTCAATTCAGATGTACAAGGAGTTTTTGTTTCATAGATAGCTCTATAGTCGCAGAGAATTAAGGGAGTTCGCGGTAACCAGTTTTCACTATGAAAAAAGGCCATTTCATATTAATAAACTTTAAATGTGGAAACGAGGAACGGTGATAATAAAAACGTAATATTGGATGAGCTACATTGAAATGACGTAACCGTCAAAAATGGTCAGTCCCAGATACGAGCTTTATATCTGGTAGGAAGCTTTCTGACGACAAACCTGAAGAAAATTTTCTATGTGCTAAGAGGTTTTCTGAACACAAATCTTGAGAAGTTTTTTAATATTTGTTGTAAAGATTTCTGAACACAAACCTTGGGGAGAATTTTACATCTCCCGAGAAGCTTTCAAATAAATACAAAGATTATTCGGCTATTTTATTATATATGTTATTCAAGCTTTACCGTTCGCGTTCATCATTACTCAGCTTTAGCTACTGGCTGTTTTCTTGAGCATGATCAGAGTAAGAGGTGAACTTTAAAACATCAGAACTTGTTATCTACTATTTCAAGGGTCGTTTATGTTTTATTCATGGTTATTAATAGCCCCAATTATAATATCTAATAACTATGCGGTATTTAGTGAAAACACCATCTTTACTTATCTAGAAACGCGTCATGTTCTTACTTACGTCTACACAATGAATAGCAGATTATTTTTACCAGCTAGCAGTTACATGGTAACCAAGTTACATTTCTTTCCCAACACTATGAGGACGTGGACAGAGTATACGTTTGTACATGTAAGTAACTGTCTATTACATACAGAAGGTTAGTCCAAAAATAATTTCAAGATCTATTTATATTATCTTTCTATTCCTAATTTACCTTGAGTGTTAAAGATTTAAAAAAATCTATATTAACACAATAAATTTAAAAAATAACAAATGCTGAACAGATGATTTAGAATTAAATACAGCTACATTCAAAGTGTACGTATACAGGTCCAGTAAATATATAGGGTAGTTTAGTGGACCTGTATACGTACTTTCTGACATATATATATATATATATATCTGTACCAGACTGATAGGTCTATATTCTCTCCTGTTTATATATATATATATATATCTGTACCAGACTGATAGGTCTATATTCTCTCCTGTTTATATATATATCTGTATATCTGTACC